CCAAAAAACGGAAAGAACTTTTGCACCGGACTAATACTAGTTTTTAGTTTGCTGCTGAGATTTAAGGAAGGAGAAATATGTTTTTTATCGATTTCCAATGTAAATGTTGAAGAGGCGTGGCGCAAACGCCAAATATTCTCGTTTAAGTGAGACAATCAACCGCTGATTAGCCACGCCTGTTGAGTTCCTCACGCCCAAGAAAACTCTTTCTAGAAGCTATGAAGATTAATTTAGGATTTCTCACTTGCAGAAGTCAGAGGATGATGAGATTTGAGGCACATCTGCGAGCTCTTCCTTCAGAAAAGCCAAGAGGTTTTTTTAGGACCAGGAGTAGAGTTAGAACGAAAGTGGCGCCATATGCGTGATCGTTATGTTCGACTTCGCAAAATTGATAAAACTAGCACTCCTCTCAAGAAAGGCGATAAATGGTTAGTTGCTGCATCTGTTTGGAAGGATATTCTCTAGATTACTTCTTGTAGGTACTATTACTACAAGAAAATGTCATTTCTGGACCCCTACATCGAACATAGAAATAGGAGGAAGAGGGGTGACTTGATGGCTAGTCTAATGAAGTTGGGAGGAAATGGTCAGTTTTTTTTTCATGGCATCGCTGTTATTGTTATCAGACATTTCAGCTGAAGGTCTGTATGATCATCAGATAACCGAAAGAAATGATGAAGAAGAAGGGAGTGATTCTGCCGAGGGTGAAATCGAGGTGAGAACCCATTGAAGCATTGATGCTCACAGTGTGCATTGAATGTAAGCGACTTTGTATGGGTTGGTGTAAAATTTTTTACGCCTTCGTATCATTGCTTTCGGAATAGCAACTAAAAAGCTCCTTTGAAAGAGTTTCACAATTCTTTGGGCCTTCGATAACTTTTACACAATGGACCTGAAATTTTCAAGTTTCGAAATTTTATGGATGTTTCTCCCCTTTCGGTACCAATTAGCATTCGCTGAATTTTGAACCAAAATGTTCTTCCAACGGTATACGCTAGAGTAAGCTGGTTGTCGTTGTTAATTGCCGAAGTACAACTTAAGAAAATAAGCAAGAGAAAAAGCACTAGGAGAGACTGAGAAAAGTAAAGAATGAAAGGAATGCATTGTTTAGAAACTGCCGGAAATTTGCGGGTTCTATGTGCACTTGCGGCTCGGCCATGCTGATGGGTTGACCATCGTTAATCATACAAAACTAGGGATTTCATGAAGTTCCTATTTTTAAATCAAAAAGGAATAACAGAATTCAGTGGCAATCTCGTAGCATGTTTCTAAGGTAAAACCGTAACAGAACTTACCGCAATGCTAAATTCCTCTAATTTATCACTGTATTCAGTGGATTTTTTCAGTTTAGTTTCTGATTAGGCATAATAAACTGGAATTATACATTAAGAAAAGTTCAAAGATAAGAAAACCTACAGTGTAATTTTTTGATGTTCTTCACGCAGCTTTGTTTATCTCTTGAAATTTATCCAAACAGATCTTTGGGTTCATCCCATAAAATGTGTGACGAAACAAATTTGTGTAATCTAGAGTTTTAATGGACTACTTGCAGGACAGATGTGATCCACTCAAAGAATTCTATGCAACATTTGCAGAGCAAAGCATGGCCATGCCTTTACCAGTTGATGTTGAGGTAAAATTCGCTGACAGGCCATTTTTGACTCTTAAATACCTTTTTAGCATTTCGATAAACAGTCGCAGTCTTCGAGTTCGGGTGCGAAGAAGAGAAAACTGGATGAGAATCATGAGGATGATCTTGGCGAAACTGAGGTCTTTTTGGCTATTTTCGTATTTAGAATCTGAGCAATTGCTTTCAGGTTTCACTTTTTGTGCGTTCAATCGAAAAATCGCTCACCAGCATGGATGCGCGTACTTTTGCTCTGGCTCGACTGGAAATATCACGGGTTTTGTTCGACTGTCAGTATGGTGAACCGAAGACGGTTTGACAAAGTGATCTCTCTTGAAAGTGTTGTGATCTCACATGTTATTTTGCGCTTTGTAGTCCAATAGTATTTGACCTCTTGCCTAATCTTTAGCTTTGTATAGTATCGCATAGGTGTGTTGTACCGGTTCGTCAGAACATTTGTTTATTTTTCAGGTGACATTGCTATGAAATTCTTGTCCACTTTATCAGGAAATGGTTTTAGATCATGACAACAACGATGTAGATCTAGTTTATTTCCTACGGTTTTCTCTCATATAAGTCGTGTCCAATCTCTAGTCTTTGGTGTTATTCCAAATATCGATAAATCTAGTTGGTTCCTACCGATCGAGAACAGTAAGCAATACAATATCAGAACACGACGTAGTAATAACTCTTCCAGGCAGTTATGTTAGATTTTTGGTTCCCGTAATCTATAAATGCCTGAAGGTATTGAATTTGGAACTCGCCTCATACTTTTTCAAAGTAAACTTTGTAATGCTGAAATTGTTTGATTCTTACAATTATCAGACGGAGCAGGCAACAAATGCAGGAACCACAGTCTGTTTGGAGGATGTAAGTATACACTGTTTAGAATATTACCTGTATGATACCATCGGCACCTCAGCTTTCTCCGTCGGATACATCCCTCGGTTGTGCCCCTTATTCGAAAGTTTGGCGACTGTTTCTCTAAAATCAGAAAGAAAATTGGATTGTACCTGTGATAAACGACAAACACTGACGTTGATGTTCTTTTGGGCTTTTAGTTGTAAGCCATTTGGCGACGGGAGCTGTAGGAAAAAATGCTGAAACTACGTGACGCACGGAAGTGGCAATGATTAACCAAATTTTGTCCAACTCGCTTCTTTAGGGCGATAATGCAATACGCTTGGCTCACTTTTCTTCTAAATTTCTTAGAATGTAAAATTATCATTGTTTATTGTGTTTTGAATTTGTAATCATTCTTATAGATTGAAACACACCGTCGCAATATGATAAGAAAGTTTGATCTTCTGAAAGTAGTGCTGTTAATCACGCATCAGTTGCTCAGTTAAACAGAAAGCTGTGTCATAGGAAGATAGATTTCATACCAGTTTTCATCGTTCGCCTATAATCCAAGTTCCCTGTGTTGTTCAAACCATAATTTTGGAGAGCCAGATATTCAAAGCGTTTAAGGTTCTCAGTATAGTGTCCACAACCGTCTCCACCGTTGTTTCTTCGTGAGATGCTTTCGTAGCGCACATAAGTTTGCTCTTGGTTTGGAGAAATGACACATTTTGAATGCAGAAAAGGAGCACACTCACTATCGTAGCGGAACTAGTGCGATATTTCTTTCTTATCAGGGAACGTTCAGAACTTAACCCAGCCATACCAAACAATATACTTGGGAACATATACATACTTGGGATCAGCGTTCCAGGACTCGTCCTGGGACGCTGATCCCAAGTATATGTTTGTTATCTCTGAACATTACCTGATAGGAGTCAATACGCGTCAAAGTGCGATTTGTCAAGTCTTCGGTGGCGCACGTTCTACGAAATATACGCTTAAGAATACTTATTTAGGATTTTGATGAATGTGCTTTTTTCTTGTGAGTAGAATAACCATAGCCACAGTAAATCCGCGTCATCAATT